TGGACAAGATTTATCATAGGCCTAACTCAGATTATACTAGGTCACAAATAGGACAAGATTTTAGGCCTAACTCAGATTATACTAGGTCACAAATGGGACAATGTTATAGGCCTATTACTATTAATCAGACTATACTAAGTCACAAATAGGACAAGATTATTGGTCTATAATTCGGATTATACTAGTTCACAAATTGGGCAAGGTTAATTATAGGCCTAACTGAGATAATACTAGTTCACAAACAGGGCGAGATTATAGGCCTATAACTCAGAGTATACTAGGTCACAAATAGGATAAGATTAATTATAATTATAGGCATAACTCAGATTATACTAGGTCGCAAATAGGGCAAGATTATAGGCCTATAACTCAGATTATACTAGGTGACAAATAGGACAAGATTATAGGCCTATAACTCAGATTATACTAGGTGACAAATAGGGCAAGATTATAGGCCTATAACTCAGATTATACTAGGTCACAAATAGGAGAAGATTATAGGCCTATTATTCAGATTATACTAGGTCACAAATAGGACAAGAGTATAGGCCTAACAGATTATACTAGGTCACAAATCTAGAATTAAGGTAACGACTGTTTATCAGAACTTATCACTCTTAATCAACTGGCTGTGCAATGTTTACAAGTGGTCAAGATTATGATCGCGTTTATAATCATGATTTATCCTATGTTGGTATATTCATTTGTTGATTTAAACTGTACCTGAAATCTCATGTTTATGTTGTTCATCAATAAATTGTTCAGTTTTAATTTAGATTTTACAGTTGTTAATTTCATACCCCAATTCTTTGATTTCATGGGGAGTCTTCCGTAATTGAACGAGGCTGCCATTTCCTGTCAACTATATAACAACCCAATGTATTGCTTTCTTTTCAGGTTTCCCTCTATCCTGCGTATATTTATTATTGCTTAAATCTGAACACATTCATCACAGTATTTTTACAAAATATATAATTTTTAAAAAAAAAATTACTTTTATTTAAACGTCCATTCAATATGAAGTATATTTCATGTGTAAGATGATGCGAAACACCCCACAAAGCAACGATGATAAACATCATGAGACTGTAGAGTTCAACAAATGTTGGGGCAACACATTTGTAAATATAGCTTGGCAATTACTTCCTAATTATTATAAACGTAAACTAGAACTTGAAGCGATAAAGAACAAGAACCAAGGCATCACCGAATTTCTGTATAATAAGTGGGGCAACATGTTTTTTTAAAAAACTTTTTCTCTATTCTGAACCCGCTTAAAATTCGAATGACATTTTTCGTAATCCAAAGAGACCAATCAACTTCATAGTACCCTATAAGACTCTTATGTACCGTACTAGCAAATGTCAATATACAATACATAAACTAATGTTTGACCTTCTTCACAAATTTTTTAACTTACCTTTTTTTTAAAAAAAAAAGAATAAGAACATATACAAAAGTAAAGAAGCATATTAAAATTGAAAAAGAAAACATATATATATATATATATATATATATATAAACATATATATATGTATATATATATATTCAATGTTCCTCGCATCCCATGAAATGCCACTTCACACCCTGATTGAGAAACCTTGCTTTGACTATGCTGTACTGTAAATAAAATTGTCCTAAGAACAGAGATTTAAGAATTTGAACACCAAACCTAATATTGAATGTTTGAATGCCCATATTTAGACACACACATATTCTTTACCAAATATAAAGTTAAACAGAACGCTAGTGGGAAAGGATCCTGTGCAGTAGGAAATGTAATGGGGAAAAAACTGCAGAAAGATGGATCACACACTGAGATGAATGAGAAAGTGGAAATAACACTATGCATCATCTGTCATGGAATCCACCAGGTACCCAGTAAAAGATGCTGACTGCCTACTGACTGAACACTTGGCAGGGGACCTAGACAAAAACGTCATGAGGAGATGTAGAGAGAGAGCTGGAACGATTGTCTCTGGACAGTGTAATATAGGTGTAACAAAAGCCTGTACACCACTAGAGGCGACACAGGCCAAGAAGGCGGCTTGTAAATATATGCAAAATACAGTTAACAACTCCATACATTAGTTAATAAACACCATTTATACAGTTAACACAAAAATACAGTTAACAACACCAGATATTCAGTTAACACTACAAATACAGTTAACAACACCATACATTAGTTAATAAACACCATTTATACAGTTAACACCAGAAATACAGTTAACAACACCAGATATCCATTTAACACCAGAAATACAGTTAACAACACCAGATATCCAGTTAACAACAGAAATACAATTAACAACACCAGATATCCAGTTAACACCAGAAATACAGTTAACAACACCAGATATCCAGTTAACAACAGAAATACAGTTAACAACAACAGATATCCAGTTAACAACAGAAATACAGTTAACAACACCAGATATCCAGTTAACACCAGAAATACAGTTAACAACACCAGATATCCAGTTAACAACAGAAATACAGTTAACAACACCAGATATCCAGTTAATAGCACTGTAAATACACTTAACAGCACCATAAATACAGTAAACAACACCAGGGACCTATGTATTGATAGCCACTCATGTATCGATAGCCACTCATGTACCGGTAGTCGGTAGCCAGAACAATATTGGTCAAAATGTTCATATCAAAATGTAACCGAATACTAGGAGTTTATAACTGTTACAGTGCAATGTAGAAAACATTAAGTGAAAAGTTGCTAAATACTGGCATTCCATGAGACAAATACTCCTTTTTTGTGTTAGATAATAATAATTTACTCATCACTATAAGATGGGACTTATCACTATAAAATGGGTGCCTCTGTTTACTTATACAACAGCAAAGTAATTCAAAGCAAGGGGACAAAACTATTCTAAAATCACATGTCAATAAAACCATGGAGTTGTTTCAAAATATTTATTTTATTTAACATGAACTTCTCATATAACATTTAGAACAATAATAAATCGCAGCCCTTTTGTTTTATTCAATAGAACACTATGTGACACTGGGACAATCTGTTACCCCAGCATATGATCTTTAATGATGAAGTTGTGGATGGTCCTTGCAGAAAGTTTCAACTTCATGCACACATCAAACAGATGACAGTGATTCTCACTACTTACAATCAGGGATTTTATTAATTTTTTTCTTCTTCATTTATTCAGAGAACTGTTTTTCCCACAGTCTAGTCTAGGCCTGCACAACTCAAAATGTAAGGCTGGCTGTAATACTTTATGAAAAACTTGGGCGGGACAAATGAAAATAGGAGGGGGGGAGCTATTAAGCATTAAGCAAATAATAATAATAATAATAAAGAATATTTAGTAACTTCTGGGACTGCAAAGTGGGTCCTAGCGGGCTGCATGTTGTGCAGGCCTAGTCTAGTGAATTCAAAAGAAATGACATTCTTAAAAGTAAACAAACTTTCCCTCTACAATCATGTTTTAGATAAATGTAACTTTGAAAAAAAAGACATTGGAGTTTAGAAGAAAAAAAAAGAGGTAAAAAGTTCAAAAACATATTAATGTTAACAGATTAGTATAGTGCTACTAATTGACATTAACTATTGGTAATTTGATCCTGGCCATTTGTAGTCAGGTAAACAAGATGTGCTCTGAGCTTCTCATGCCTAGCTATTTGCTCAGGCAAACGACATATGCTCATATGCTCTGAGCTTCTCTGGCTACTTCCTCAGGTAAACAAGATGTGCTCTGAGCTTCTCTGGCTACTTCCTCAGGTAAACAAGATGTGCTATGAGCTTCTCTGGCAACTTGCTCAGGTAAACAAGATGTGCTCTGAGCTTCTCATGCCTAGCTATTTGCTCAGGCAAACAACATATGCTCTGAGCTTCTCTGGCTACTTCCTCAGGTAAACAAGATGTGCTCTGAGCTTCTCTGGCAACTTGCTCAGGTAAACAAGATGTGCTCTGAGCTTCTCTGGCTACTTGCTCAGATAAACAAGATGTGCTCTGAGCTTCTCATGCCTAGCTATTTGCTCAGGTAAATAAGATGTTCTCTGACTCTGAGCTTCTCTGGCCTAGCAATTTTCTCATGTAAACAAGATGGGCTCTGACTCTGAGCTTCTCTGGCCTAGCTATTTGCTCAGGCAAGCGACATGTGCTCTGACTCTGAGCTTTTATGGCTACTTGACTACTGGCTCAGAAAAGCATACACAACTTTGTGTCAGTTCTTTTCATTAAATTTACTTTAGGGTTGGTTATGGACCACATAAGGGCCAACTGTCACAAGTTCTCTTAAAAGGCTGCAGACTGAGTGAGTAAATGGCTCACATAGCAGACATTAATGAATTGTAATGTCAGGGACTACTGAACATAATACCTGGACAGTGGGGGGGAAACATTGCTTTGACTCCTTTTATTTAACTGCTAACCCTAACAAGCAGCACAGCTTTAAGACAAAAAGTTGCATTAAAACAAGGAGGGAAGCACACCTATGCCTAGCAGTTGAAAGTCATGCAGTTTCACCATTGGGAACATACTACACCATTGGTCCTTATTAAAAATGAAATGGCCTCAAAATATAAAGAAAGAGTGAACAAGGTTGGAACTTAGTACATGTGCACTAAACCCTAATTTCACCACTAATGCAAAAGTCCATTCAAAGGCAACTCTAGAAACAGAACTTAAGTTTCAGAGTTTAGTTAACTAACTTCATCTGACCCCTTTCAATGGGGGGGGTCAGGCTAATTAGTTTTTTTTTTAAATCTTCTCAAATTTCATCATTTACAAAAATTACAGAGAAGACAATAATCCTCATTTCATCCAGTTAATAATGTGCAATAACATTTATAAGAATTTCTTGATGAACAATCAGACAATGAAAAATAAAATGAATAAACCATTTGAAAAAAAAAATGTATTCATCTCTATTTATATACATACAGATGGGAGGGAAGTTGGGGGGGGGGGGGGGGGGGGGGGGGGTTCAGCCCCAGTCACAATCAAAGTAAATATTGACAGCTTTAGCTTCCCAGTAGCAGATTCTGAGACAACACTTTTGATAATTCTGTTCATTTTTAAGATTGGACTGAAAGGTACATTTGCTTTCATATGCAAAACTCTCAGCTGATCCTCCCAACGGTGAAATAAATTGTCCACTTCACTTGAATCGTCACATTCTCTCTCGCATACCACTCACATGATGACCGTGTGAAAAGTTATACAATGGCAGCATGAACGAAACTTCCAACCCACTCAGTCACACATACAGACGCAGCCATACGATGCCGATATTCAGACCAAGAGGTTGTGGGTGGGCTTTTTGCCGGGCCAGGCCTCCTTGGCGTACTTCTTTTTCTTGGGCTCCTTGGGGCCCTGCTCTTCCACCACTGCCATAGGGATGGCGTTGGTGTGCGCCGGTGGGGGCACGGGGCTCTCAAAGTCAACATCCGGCGCCAGGTTGGGCACAGGAAGCCCCAGCTTGGCCGCAATACTGAGCGGGTTGGCCAACATGGAGCCTGGGCCTACCGACGGCAGGTCACCGTACAAACTGTTTGCGCTGTGCGGGTGTTTGTTTGTGTGTAGGTGCAAGCCGGAATTGACAATACTGAGGTCCAGTTTTCCTCTCTGGGGATAGAAGGCCAAGCTCTGATTAATGAGAAGCAAATACATTTAAAAGAAAATCGAGATAGGTGTCATCCAAATTAGGGAACAACCGGGTAGACATTTTCACCAGGTACCAAATCAGAGTTTTTCAGGATTCCTATTTTCCAAATCCGCATATGAATCCGAGTACCTTTGCACAGTATTCATGAAGAAACTTATCTTACATTACCACGATTTCAGGTTGTTCCCTAATCCATATACTACATATAAACTGATTAGGATTAGGGTAGTTAAATTGCAAGATTATAATTTTCATTGTGGAGTAGGGAAGGGGGAGAGAATTTACCTAGCATATAAATAAGTATGCCAGGGTTAGAGGAAATACAGGCTGCAGCGTGAGGGGAGATGAAAATAAAAAAAGTATGCACAGTAACATGTGTAGGAGCCATAAGATATCGATTTGGTAACGGATATTCAAATGATTTAAACAAAACAAAGAAGAACTAAAAATACTCCATTGAAAGGCTGGTAAACTGATCTAGGGCATCCCTATTGTTACCTGGACTCAAAATGCAACCTGGCTGTCTGTCAAAATGGCAATGTTAACAGTTTGTACATTAACCAGGTTTTTTTAAAAATAAACCTCAAAAATACAGTTAAAACAGTACATAAAACTCACTTTGGTGGGTATCACTGTAGTTTGCACTAAATTTCTAAAACGGCCAATGGATGGATCTATATCTTCTGCAAAGAGAAACATTTATGTGTAAATTTCTTCCTTTTTTAAATGTCAAAAACAAAAAATGCTTTTAAATTTCAATAAACAAATATTGATGAACATACAGGTGAATTAACTCATGGGCAACATTTGGTGAGTAATTGGATTTTCAAAAGTGGTTATGCATCTTGACATGTCCGTAGAATTGAACTCTGATATCATGAGACTTCCAGCTGTAAACAGTGAAGATGTAAAATACTGAAATGATTTCAATTAAGAAAACCATACGTCCTTATTTTGTTTCATTTTTTTCCTTCTAAAATGCTTGTTTTTTTTAAAAATGGTTTTGTCATACCTCTTTAGCCAATGAATTAGTAGGAACTTTGAACAAAATCAATTTAATTTTTTTTAACCAGTTGATTCGAAAACCATAGTTACTTCCCTTAGTTTAGACATGTTTAATTAACAAGCCTGTTCTCTGCCGGAATGACTTAAGGTCTCTGGTCATTAAACCAAACGTGAATATCTCTAGCTGACTGAAATACTTTCAAACAAACCTTTCCTAAACTTTATCAATGGGATTTACAGAAGTGGTGATTATTGTTTTGTTTGATATGTAAACGTAACATTTTAGAATAAATAAAATACATTGCCTACAAAGCCGAGACATAATAAATTAGAGTTATAAATTGTTTAAGATGGAGTCAAAGGTCCTCAAAAATTATTATTCGAGGAGGTTTAGGGTTGAATCCATTAGATATCATTATTTTTTTATTACAAGGAAGATAATGCCTCAATTTTTTAAAAATTCTCTTCCAAAATTCAAATTAAAAAGAATATGTATATAATCTCTCACCATCTTCCCATTTAATTTTCTCTGATAATACTTTATTAAGTCACATTTATTCATTCTTTATTCTGAAAACTTCCTGAGAAAGCTAGTCTTGTTTTGAATAGCCTCTTGTGTAATTCTGGCAAGCTATAAGAATCTGAGTATGCATGATCGTTCTTAAAAATGTGTGTCCTTATATACCTGGATTGATGATTTCTTCCTCGTCAGCAAAACCTACATGGAAATTTTTGTGCTTGCGCTTCAAAGGATTAGGAACATCTGGCATGTCTGCTACAGAAATCACACGCCTGTTGTGGGCTGTGTTAAACTCTGTTAAATTCTGGATATAAAGCATAGTTTAAATGGTAGCAAATAATAATATGTGACAGAATAAAACAACATCCAATAAGATTCATTGAAAAACATAAAATTAAAAGTAATATGATGATTATTCTATTTGTTAATGGAAATCTAAGTGATGCATCCTCCTCAAAGCAACAGATACAGTACAGAATTAATAAACAAGCTTTTAAGGCTTGATTCTTATTTTAAAATTATATAATAATTCTAAAACTTATTTTCAAACAGTCCTGAAAGGTGTTAAAGAAAACTGAAAAAAATCTAAAGTTCCAATGTATCTAATTGAAATTGATTATTATTATATAAATTTATGTCTGCGCCTCTCAACTAGGAAGTTGTACGTTAAATTATTTTCAGGGCCTGTGCCAAGCTAACATTGAATAGTCAGGTGGTAAAAAGTCTTAAGACAAGTAAAACAGATATTCTATGATGTATAAGGGGGTAAAACTTGAATTAAAAAGTGTTGAAGTCTTCAGACAGCAGCCAACTTAGCATGGCTTCAAGCAAAAAGTGGTCTGCACAAAAATAGTTTTAGTCTTACCAGTCAAAGCTAAAGCGGCTGGAATTTAAAATTCCAGAAAATGTTTAAGAAAATGTCAATAGTACACAAAACTTGACTTTAAGAGAGCATTTTTGCATCTGGTAAAAGTGGCTTGTAGAAATTTCAACTTCATCAAAGTTTAATGCACTTTGCATTTAAATCAAATGAAGGTAACAAGTATACACTTTCTATATGTGGTTAGCCTCATTCCAACACTCACATCTAATTCAGTCTCAGACTCGGGAAGACCAAGCAAATTTCCTTCAGAGTCATCTCTCTTTCCATCCTTTTCATCCATACCTAATGTTCCCATCTGAGGGCGCTCACGTATTATGTATATTCTAGTGGAAGCACCAAAGTGTATCTCACTGTCTATGGGTATTTGTTGGGGTTTTTTAGCTTCAAGCCGAATGTGGCCAATATATGTTCCATGGGCTTGAAGAGAAAAGCAAAAGACATCTTTCAATATTGTAACATATTTTATCACAAACTACCAAAACTTTCAATTTTACCAATAAAGGACTATGTTTATAAAGCTTGAAAATACAAAATTCACATTTTAAAATAATTAAATCAATCTTACTTGTTCATTTGATTTTATTAGGATAATGCCATACCCAAAAAAGGGAATGCAGAATAAGCATTATATCTTAAATGATTACTGTTTTTAAATACTTTTTCTTTTAGTGAAAAAAAAATTAACTTCTTGTATTCTTTTACATTGAAATAAAATGTCTCCAAACTTACTGCTTCCCAAATCAATGAGAAATGGCCGGGACAGGTGCTTGTGCCATACTAGAGCAGTATGAACCCTGGAGCACGACGAATGGTCTATAGTGAAATCACATAGCTGTTTGTTGCGACCAAAGAAGTAACATTTTTTCTCATCAATCATCAGTTTCTGAAATTAGTTTTTTAAAGTGTTACAGCGGTTTTAAATTCTTCCCTAATGTTTTTTTTTTAAAAATCAGAGTCAATATTAATCTAGGAGTAAACATAAGATAATTAACATCTATAACATTTGTAAAGCATCAATACTTTCTTCTAAGTTAGTTAACAAAACGGCATCTCTCCTTCTGAGTTCAAGTTCACCACACATTGACTTGCAATAGATGAAAAGACATGTATTAAAAAAAAACATCAATACTTCCCTAAAATTTTGGTTCAGTCATTTTTCTTGTAAATTAAAGAAAATATGAAAACAACTGAGCACCTGTATCATTTTCCCATCCTTGAGAACATCTAAATGTAATCCTGGGGGAGGTTTTCCTGCCCTGCAAGTGAACATGTTTACATCAATTTGGTCATTGATGATAATACAAAGCAAGTAGTTGGATTAAAAAAAATGATAATCTTTAACACAAAACATCACCATTTCAAAACATATGAGTCACATCTATTTCATCTATTCTTTAGTAAATAGAATTTATAAGGCCAACCCTCCAACCCATTAAAACTGATAGCAAAGTAGAATTTAAGAGTGGGCAAATATATTTGTAGGTTTTCATTATGCTGCTAACGTGAAGTAAAAAAAAAATATTTAATTTTAACATTGAGTTAATAGTTACAATAACATGATTAAAACCACAAGATCCAAAATAAAATTTTTCATTTACATTCTCTATCAAGTCAATTGTACAAAAATTATTAAGGTAAATTGCTAATGGACCATCTCTAAGATTCTACCCCCCCCCCCCCCCCCCCCCCCCCCCCCCCCCCCAATATTGCAAAAAATCAGACATCCTCATCACAAATATATGACCACAAACACATTCCACCATTTTACAGACGGGCATCATGTACCAATGCCACCAAATTAAAATTAATTGACATGATGAAATTATATATTATTCATTGAATAGCAAGTCTTTTAATTAGCTCTGCCCATAACGGCAATTATCTTAGCATCAATCGGGCTGAATGACTAGATAAAGAGTTGACCTCTATAATACCTCTTTTCTTCTGAGTTTTGCTTTAACTTGAATTCCAGTGAACAAGATAAACTTAATGGTGCCAATAAAAAAAAATGACCAATAATTTTTAAGCAATTAGCCTGATAGCTTTGACCACATTTAGAGAAAAGAAATAAAAGTAATGAAAATTTAAACATGTTGGCCAATATGAAAATTTTGACTTGAAAAGTTAAGCTGACAGTCATGGTAAGAGAGTAGTTCCAAACATGTCTAATTTCTCTCTTAAATATAGATCTAATATTTATTTATCACACAAATTATATCTCCCGTGAGAAGCTGAAATGTAAATTTAGAATGACAGCTATAGCTTCAGAAAATGTAGATAAAAGATGCATATTATTCGAAAAAGATCAGGGAAAGCAAAACCCTTAAAGACCTAAAGAGAACTGGCACAGAATAATAGAAGGGCAACTAAGCCAGATTCTACAGAGAAGATTTGGAAACCTACATTATGCACAGCTGTGACAGAGTCAGAGAAACAACCGATTTTACCTATAGTCAGGCGTGTCATTGTCAGAGTAGAACACTGGCCAGGCACTTTGGTGAAATTTCATTTTTTTAAATATAAAAATGCTACATGTGTATAAAGCCTAGAGAATGGTTAACGAAAACGCAAAGATCAACTTTATAGCTCAAGTCATTCAAAAGTTATGAATTTTTTTAGTAAGGAACTCAAACCCATTTTTTGATGTGGAGTTTTTCTCCACACTTTATGACCCATAGTTTGCTTGTTTTTATTTATAGTCCTATAACTTTATTATAAAATGAGATAAAAATAAATTTTTTACAGGGAATGTAGTTAGATATGAGTTTTACTAAATAAAACCAGAAAGCTTAAATTTAGTTATTGTTAACATTCCCCCAATTTTTTTTTAATGTCTATAAATTTTCATATATAATTATGTATAAAATATGCTGACTCAACACTTATTTGTATATAATTAATAAAATGTTTAAAATATATATTTTTTACAAATTTTCCCAAAATAATAAAATTCTTTAGATTTAGTTTCATCTTTTCTGTGGAGCTGTTTAACATTTAGAATTATAAAAATATAATCCAGAGATTAATTGATTCATTTAGTAATAATAGAGGGCCACCCAGGGATTGGAAGGGGTGTTTTTTTTAGCAGAACCACCAATCGGCCGGGTGCTCCTCTGTCAGTGATGCCCCACTTGTTTGCTCAATCGGATGGATGGCAGGTGGGGCTTTCCCGGCTGCGGTGTGCTTCCTGTGTGCCCCTTTGCGGCACGATTATATCATTATGATTGTTCCATAACAATATCTTAAGTAATTATCGAATTATTGTGCCAGAAAGTGTTTTTTTTGCCTCGGAGAATACTGAGGATTATATAATAATTCTCTTATGGAATATTATGATATAGGATATTTCAATATCAAAGGTAAGTGAATATTTGTTTACATTTTTTTAAATGTATGCCTTAAATCATAATATCAATTTAAATATGATTACATATCCTAAAATATCATTACCGGGTAATTATTATTTATTATCTTAGGTCCAACAAATAATAAGTTGGGGTGGGGCTAGGCCTATATTGAATAATTAACTATAAGGATGCGGCTATTTGGACCCGGGTCTCTTTAGACTCAATGCTATTTGGATGTCATTCGTGGTAGTTTATTTTAATTAAACTGAAGAACTAAGTTTACAAACATAATATAGTCCATTCAATTATCTTTCATTTGATACCAAATGTTGTCTTACAACCTAACAATAATTTTTTTTTATAAATTTTAATCTCAACCTCTAACTTCTCCGACCCGGGTCCGAATAGCCACTTCGTAACTATAATAGGCCTATAGGAACTATGTGTGTATGTATATATATATATATATATATATATCTATCTATATATATATATCTATACATATATATATAATATATCATTAATATGACTATTTCAGTTGTAATAAAGGCATTTTTATCCCACTTCCCCCTAATAATTACCTCAAATAACAGCATAACAACAGATCATATTGGAAATATTTAATAATAATTAAAATATTTTATATTATAATGAGTTATTATAACTATGTCGTAATATGCTGGATTTCCTGCGTAACTCAAGTTATTCCTTAAAAAAAGTCAGTTAAATGAACAGGGAATTTCAAAACACACATGACAAAACATTTGCACAAAATTTTCTCACCCATGGCCCATGGGTTTGTTCTAACTCTAACCTTGCAAATTTGTTATATTTTGTCATTTATGCAGTTATCTCTCGACGACTTTTCATTTAAGAGATACACATTTTCCAAAATACAATATAATCTAAATGAGTTAATTTAACATTATTTTACCTGCTATTTTTAAAGTTAAGGCCTCAAATTCTTTTTCATACCAAAAGTATCTAATGAGAAAACAAGATGTCTACTCTACGATATTGAGGGAAATAGAATGTGCATGTTGGTCTATAATCGGCAAAAAATCTGAGCCTATGATACTATTAGTTAATTAAAAAGTGGAGGCCGTCATTTTGATAAAATCATGTTACACAGTTTACAGCGTTTCCCTGCCAAAACTGAAGTGCCTACGTTGCCTCCAGCAACAAAATCTGATAATTGTGCACACAAATATGATCTACGCCTTCTCCCAGTTACACACTTACGTAGCTGATTGTGTTGAGTGTTCAGTGTTGTACTCCAAAATAATAGACCTGTCAAAGTCAAGCCCTGTGCCATATAATAAAATGCCCATGCCATAATTATTACGAAGTGTCTACACGTCCGGCGCGCCGGACGCCGGACGTGTAGTGCACAAGATACACGTCCGGCGACTTGTCACTTGACCGCCGGACATGGCCGGACGGCTAGTAGTTTTTATAATTCCAAACGAAGTACGATTTATTACATCTTGTCTGGTCTTGTGGTAGAGTGGTTGCTTGACGATAGGAATGTTTGAGGATCTATACCGGGGATAGGGTCGTTTTTTTTCTTCCCATTTTAATTAAAATATTTTGTATATATTTATATTATCATGTTCCTCAGCAACAGTAGTTTCATGAGAAGTTTTTAAATATTTTGTAGCAATTGAAATAATTTAAAATGAAATCTTTAACTTTTATTGGTTGCCACACTGGCCCCTAATTTATTTTATGGATTACTGGTACACAAAAAATAACAAACTAAACAAAAATGTTTACAAGCCACTTTCACTTAAGTTTCTTTTTCTAGTATTTGCATTCAAGATACTCAGTACATTACTTGGTAGAGAAATAGATTTTAAAATTAACAATAGTTTTGAATTATTCGCAGTCACGTGACAAGGCATCTCTCGCCACTTTGTTACGGCGGTCATGTGACTTGGTCGCCGGACACATAGTGCGGGAGATAGACGTCCGGCGCGCCGGACGTGTAGACACAGCCTAATTATTAATAATACTAATACTACGTACAGTAGAGCCCACAATACTATAGTTAAGCTGTTAAAATATTAAATGATAATATTAATATTACTACTATACTAGTTATCAAATAGGGCAGGGACTAACAATAATTGTCAATAAATATCAACAAACAATAAATGTTGAGAATAATGCCCGCCATCTTGGTTGACACAACCAGTTAATTATGTCACTAATTCACTAATGTATCCCTAAATCTATCCCTATGCCTAACCTGAACCCTAAGTCAATCCCTATGCCTTGCCTGAACCCTATCTCACTGCAACTATCATAAACATGCAAATGACATCATGGGCATGATTATCAACAATAGCCGATTTAGTATATTTATAGTATAATTTATATCACTGTCATGTCATATATTCATAAAACCAATGAACTACCGGTATATCATTATATCTAGTTGCCTTGGCTACATCATCATATATATGACTTTAGAAGAATATCAAATAAAGATTTTTCTACCCACTTTTATTAGTATTATTGTTTTAGAGTTTTCGTTTCAGGCCCTATCCTATCTTCTCCTTTTTTCTAAAACATGAAGTAACCCGGCCCCTGCCAACACTACTGTAATCGTGGCCTTTATGCCATAAATATCGCCTTAAACACAAATATTAATGAGCAAGATTGTGCAATCATTTAGACGTGTATGTGAAATCACTTAATAATAAAGTGTAGCGACATAAAAATGTGAACATTACCATGATGGGACCTCAAAATTGTTTACCAGCGGTACCGACATGTTGGATAAAGATAAGAATACTCTCGAATTATTGCAAGTTAATTATCGCCGGAGTTATTTACCCTTGATCTCTATTATCAGCTTTCTGTTGCTCAAATCAAAAACGTACACTTACACTATAATGTGGATATATTATATAAGTATACAAATCATTTTTAATTTTTGATCTTCTGAGTACTTCTGACTTTGAAAAAATAAATTTGAAGCCATAGCTTGCTCTAAACTTTTTAATTTATTGATACCATCTAAATGTTAAATGATTTTAAACTTAAAATATATTATTATTAATTTAATTATTTTAACTTGTGAATAATCCCCAAACAAACCTCGGTATAGGCAGTTTTGTTAAAATCTGATAACCTCATAATTTTGTTAACATACATACATGTATCATTGGTACCCTAAAAGACAAATTAATAATAATAATGATTTCAATGTTATTCAAATTCAAAGAGATCAGATGATATTGAAGAAATGTATTTCTAAAAGTATCAGTTACATTGGATTATTGATTTCATTGATATTAGTGTTAATTGCTGATCATGTTGCTTGCCACTAACGCAATTGATTTTTAAATAACTCATTTCCAAAATACAAGTATAAGCTATAACTTTCCTCATGAAATGGGTGGATATTTTGTAAAATAGATGTAAGTTTATAAGCAAAAAGTTATTTGAAAATACTGATTTCTCATAGTCATATATACAAATAAGCCCCTTTCAAATCATCTAAAAGTTCAACAGTAAAACCTTTAAAAATGTATGATAACAACAAAAAAAATTAATATAGATAATATATTGGGGTAATATGCAAAGCAAACACACAACAGAATTTGTAGGTCAAAATGTATCTTTTATTATGGTAATCATCTTTAAGCGATTGCTTTCATACTTCTTGATTTTTTTTTAAAATTTAAGCTAGCATTACAATCCTATGGTTATGCACATTTTACTTGTTCCAACCTAAAATTTTCATGTTCAAATGTAAAGTGTTCAAAAAATTTGTTTACCTAAATCAAACATTAAAACTTTCATTTTAATATTATTCACATTATGTTAGATTAGGATTCCCATTGAGCCCTTTGCTAGTTGGATGAAGACCACGGGTCAATTCTTAAAAATAGATTTTTTTAAAAATTCAAGCAAATTCTGCTCCAGGATCGCCTGGCATCTTTCCCCTCATGATCTTGGATCGTCCATGGATCACAGGTTAAGAACCACTGTTTTATATAATTTTACTTATTGGGTATTATTTATTAAAAATATAATCTGGACCAGTGAGTTTACTTGCTGGTTAAAAAGCTTATAAACATGTCATCATTGAATTGCAGTCACTGCTTACAAAAGAATTTGAGATGTACTAATTTACTATAAATTTGAGGTCATTACAATTTCTAGTACTAGTAGTTTGTTTAAAATTTTGTTTTTATAAAAAAAAAATTAAATTGCTTTTTCTTTGTTTTTTGCTTTAAATTTAAATGAGAGTTTCAAGTATCCAAAACAGAGTAGTCTGGCTTACTTGGTCGACTAAATGTTCAAACCTTGTCCAATAAATGGGACGCCTCGGTGAATATGACAAGAATAATTTTCTGCCAACCTTTACTTTATAATGTCCATTTTTTAATTGAAAAAAAAAAAACACAACATAATGTTAAAATCTAGTTTCGGTAACCCGTTTGGGCACACTGTGGTAGTTGATTTAGAATTTAATACATTACTTTTATATCACATCTCCATAACTATTTTAACCTGTGTTGCTTATTTAAATAGGAAAAGTAATAGTAAAAATAGCATTTATTGAAACAATGCTACAGTCTCTCACTAATCACAGATCATGATTCAATTTATATTTCTCCAACACACTATCACTAATTAAGACCTGAAATGCATGCAGATGGCTGTAGCGGCAGTTTCTACAACAAGCCCATGAACTATAATGTTTCTCACATATCCAGTATCATGAGAGGACCACCGGACATCAAGTCCCTGGGCTATCACTTCACAGAGCATTGCTGTTTTCACAGGCAGTCTTCAACACATGATTTTATAAAATATCTTCCAACACCTACACAAATGCAATGCCGCAATACTGTTTATATGCAGTTTGCTTAAAACCAGGAAGTTCACACCTCCTCCTTTCTCATTAGGATTTTTTTTTTCAAAGTTTAATAGTTATACTGTTTTATTGTCTCACTGATATTAAGGTTAAGGAGTATTAATTTCAGAGCCTCTAAACACACTACTTTGTACAAATGATACAGCAACAATTTTTAGCAATTCCTAGTTATCAATCCATTCTTAGATTTAGATCAGCAGTTTTCTTACACTCTGTAGTTGTATTCTTTGTTAAATTGCTACTGTCAATTAAATTTTGTTTAAGTTCCTGTGTAGAGTAAGTTGCTGCTGCCTCTTTAGCATTCTTGAAGATTGCATGGCTCTTGGCATCATTTTCATCCAAAACTTTTTTGTACATCGAAAATGAGCGCCTAAGCACAACGAAATGCAATAACATTCCAGTCAGCATGAAACAAAAGCAAGCCATAACTATAGATCCATTGGAGATTTTAGAAACTCCTTTAATTCCATAGTATGGCTGCTTTCTGTAGAATTCGTCTTCAGCTTTTTGCCTAACGGAATGTAAATCATAGAATGCCCGGGGACGTTCGTAAAAGCTTTCCTCTTGGGAATTTTGAGTGTGTGCTGACTGCTGGTAAGTGTTGTACTGTTTCTCTGATTCCTCGAAGTTCAAATTCAGGTCATAACTACGGCGAGTTAGAGGTTTACTTAACGTGGTGTATGCCTCATTCACCATGATAAACTGCTGGTGATTATCTGCTGACTTACCACTACTGATATCTGGGTGACACTCTTTAGATCTTTTAAGAAAAGCTGCTCGAATGTCTTCATGAGTTGCATTCTTATCCACTCCAAGCACTTTGTAATGGTCAGCTTTTGTGCTGAAAGAACATACATCTGACTTGATACTTTCAAATACTTGATGGAAAACCTTTTGAAAGCAGAGACTGTAGAGGCTGTTTGTGCCATTTTTACAGCTGTTGTGTAAGAACATCAGTCGAGATGACATGGCAGTATTATTATGGAAGGCTTTCCTGCAGTTTTTTAATGTGTTTTTTTTTAAGATCTGTAATGAAATAAATTTTATGTTATGGTTTTATCAATCTACAAGAAACAATGGAAGAAGGAAAAAAAATCATCCTAGTATTTAAGAACAATTTCCGATAGGCCTATTCAATACAAGATTTGAAAATTAAGCAATTTGAAACACAGCCTAATAATCAGGGATATTTAAATTGAATATTTATACTAAATAAAACAATGCTGATGATCTTTTCAATGTAATACCTTAGTGTCCTATGAAAACAACTAAATTGCTAGTTGGTAGATAAACTAAGACTTATATGATTAAGTAAATGTCTTAAGGTGTGCTTTAACTTTAGATCTGGTCATTTTTGTGTGAGAGTTATTCTTTTTGTGCTTTGACTTTTGTATTTAATACTATTGCTAGCAACAAAGTGACAAATTACACCTTCCATCACACTAGTTACAGTGAAGTTACACACTTAATATGTATTGAAATTTCAAATGAAAAGTCATTGATTACTGACTGTATATTATTCAAATATTGTTGATGCTTCGAAGAAATGAGAATTAATCCCAACTGACAGTCTTCATCTGCTTGCAAATACAGCAAGAATATGGTAAGATTTCTTCTCATCCTGGTGGTTAAACAATATAAAACCTTGCCTTAATAATGTGAAAAGCAAAGTCTTAATGCTCATTGTCCTCATATTATTAGGTAGCACAAATTTGGCTAAATTTTTTTAGGTTAAAATTTAACCCCAGTTTGATATTCATGATATGCTAATAATAGAGCCAGACTTATGATCAGTATAATGAGCACAGAAAAGTTACAATATGTCAAGTCATTTGGAAGATATCACTGTCTTTGTTCACTCGCTGCAGTAAAAAAAAACACACACACGAATCATACTGCTAAATGGAGGACCACATTTTGAAAACATGGTGCCATACGACAAAAAGCAAATCCTCTGGCCTATCTAATGCCCCTATCGTTCTTATGAATTTTTAAAAGGGATCATGAATTTTGATAACTTTCATTTTTGGGAGAGTGGACAATAATGGGTTAACTAGTTAAATTTGGTGCAAATTATTCATTAATAAGGGTCTAGACCAAGGGTCAGCAACCTTTTGAGACGGAAGAGCCAAAAGTTACAATTAACAAAATTTCCCAGTTTTTAAAGAGCCACAAACATTTTTATTTCAATATAATTATTAATATTTGCGCATGGAACTGGAGAGCCGCATCTTGACATCAAAAGAGCCGCATGCGGCTCATGCGGTTCGCGAGCCGCAGGTTGCCGACCCCTGGCCTAGACCTAATCCACTGAGACAGTACTATTATACTCTCACTGCTGTGGTCTGTCTTAATCAATTTGTCTAGACCAAGAGTCGGAGAAGATTTTCAGCTATTACCCCATAATAAATTTGTTTATGACAACCTTACCCCCATGATAAATATAAAAAGTATAAAAAGAAATGGGACAAAACAAATTAATAACTTTAAAAAACTTATATTAATCTTTTGATTCCCTAAAAAGATGTCAATCTTCAGTAGTACTTGAGGAGGCTGCAGCTGCACTGCTCTACTACCAGCTATGTTGTTGATAGAGGAATGTGCGATAATTAATGAAACATTGAAAACTTAAGATGCATATGTTATTGTTTAGAATTGCAAAAAAATCATTGGAAGAAGTGATTATGTAAATATTGACATTTTTAATTACAATTACTTGATAACAAGCTCTCTTATTAATTCCTAATTTAGCTCATATTTGATAAAATCCCATGAAAGCATACTTATTCTTTTCAAATTTTCTAGATATAAATGTAACATACTGATTGTCTGATTTTTTTGATTGGCTGTTTAGTCTATTAATCTGTAATATTACCAATTAATTGGCAATGTGGCAGATTAGGTCAATTAAATTTAAATATTATTTACCAATTGATTGGTGCAATCCTAATCCTAATACTAATACTAACAAACAAATTGGGGCTTTTGAATGTAAGTTAATGTGAGTGCAATTTGGACATTGTCTTGAATTTTCTATTTATTTCTCTGCATTTTCTAAAAAATATTTATAATCATTATTAGAGTAGAAAATCTGTTTTCACATATTTAGGTAGCAGCAAAACCAATTCACTATGAATAATTTTGAAAGCATTTTCAGCTCTTGACCAAAATGAAGCATACTCTGCATACAAGACAAGAAAAGCAGTTTCACTAGCTGTCAAGCTACACTGAAACATGTTTGAGTACTCTTGTCTATATTATATTATTATAGTTAAAGTTAAGTCTATAACTACATTGTTGTCCAGATGAACTCAGGGCTGGCTAAATTTTAAGGACGAATGACACTATTTTATCAAATTTCACAAATGTATCCCTAAATCGATCCCTATGTGGCTATGCATAACCTGAACCCTAAATCGATCCCTATGCCTAACCTGAACCCTAAATCGATCCCTCAACCTAATCGTCTAAACCCTAATTCACTGCAACTATAATTATAATAAACACACAAAAGACGCCATGACATCAATCCTTAATTTTAGCCAAGGGTTGCTTGAAAAAAAAAATGTAACAAGCATCGCGCTTTTAACCTCTGTCAGGCACGTATGATCAGATTGATACAACTAATACTAATACAAGCCAAGCGTTTTTGTTTTGCACACGTTAACCGTTAATGAGAGATGAAAGCGAGCTCTTCCTATCCCTGGTCCGTAGCTTAAACTTAAACTTAAACACTTGAAGTTTTGATTAATTCATATCATAAATGTGATTATTATTTGACTGGCAGAAGACGCCGCCTTCGACTTAGTGACCTTAGAAAGTGTTGTGATTTAGTCAAGTAAACCCACTGTTGTATTCCTAATATTTTAATTTAAAAATTGTTCATAATACAAATCTTTAGACCTTTAATTCTAGTGTTTACTTTCAGTAACCTTCCATTTTTTTGCTTTTATGTAATCACAAGGGATAACACTGTAAGAAAGAACTCTAGGGGCTTTTCTTTTTATTATGTCCCCTGGACTATACGTTTAAAAGTCACACTAAAATCAAACTTTCATGATTGAATGAAAATTTTATAACATTTAACATATATTTATAAATATATATAGTCTATATATAGTATATATAGTATAGGAGCTGCTCATTCCTGCCCAAGACAATCAGGGACTGGAACAATCTTTCAAAAGGAACGGTTGAGGCGACAACACTAGACACATTTGTGTCTATTGCCTCAAGCCTTCAAACCCCCAGTGCATGATTCCCTCA